CTTACTTATATGCATGCATATAAGCATAACCAATGGACATAAGACACTGGGGGGTAGGGGAGGCCAGGGAATTGTCAAGGGCGGGGGAAAAAAGGAGACATATGTAATACCCTTTATAATACTTTAAGCAATAAAAAATAAATTAAAAAAATAAATAAAGAAGCCCTTGCCAAGGCAAGCAAAGAACATGTCCTCGGGTGAGAATTAAAAAAATAATGTTCACCATGTTTATTGTTGAGTGAGTAGGATTATTTTTCATTTTTAATATCAAAAAATTTCTATAATGTTTTACTTATTAAAGTAACCATGTATTAGTTTTGTTAAGAGAAAAATATATACATTTAAAATATAAATATTTTGGTATATTTAGATATATAAATACATGTACATGTATATATTAAAATAAATACATATATTCATTCATATATATATTCAAAATATATACATATACACCAACATATACAAATATTCAAAATATATACATATATTTAAAATATATACATACATATGAATATATACATATATTCATTTATGGGAGAGCAAGAACAAGACTGATTCTTTTCATCTGGAAATATGGGCAGATCACTTCATATTTGTGAGTCATGCTTTTCTCTTCTGAAAATGGGGGCATAGATTATAAGACCCTAAGTTCCCTTCTAGGTTTAAAATTCTATCTTTCATCAAATTTTAGATTCCATCACCAATATTCTGAGATTTCTTTGAAGAACTGTTTTTCTTCCTCAATTATAAAGCCATTTTTTATTATTACCTGAACAAATTTGTTATCCATTTCTCCTAGTTGCTTTTTAATTTCCACAATCTTCTCCTTTAAAACAAAGGGTATAAAACAAACGTTATAAAGAATGATTTATGAAATTGAGACAAAACAAATTATGATTTTCAGAAGAAAGCTAATTCATGATCAAAAGTTTGAGATTTAATAGAAGCCATTTTTTCCTTATTATTCTGGGGGCTGATATCCAAAATCAATATTAAATTAAACCAAGATATTATTGGCCATATCCTATGTAAGAGACTACTGAGCTAGGCACTGTGCTGATTGGATATCAGTAAGTATTTGCCCTCAAACACCTATAGAGAATGTATAGTCTATACCCTTCTTTACCAAGTTTGGTCATTACCTACCCCTGAACTATGGCATTTAATTATTTAGAAAATAGCTGTGATATAATCATCATATTTTACTTGGTGCCCTGGTTTGTTTACATAGAAAATATATTTACACAGTACTATCAAAGATAACTGAGATGGGAGTAAGTCTCAGAATGAAAGTCTAGATATTCTTATGAAGATTTCAGAAAATGTGTGGACTTGGGGACTCAACAGGAGGCAACACCCCAAATCTGCCTCAAAGGTAGATTTAAACTATTCTTAGTTTAAAGCTCTTTTACATTGTGTGTGTGTGTGTGTGTTTAAATGCTTTTACCAAATTTCCCTTCTCCTCTTTTATGGCTTGCTGAGTTATACCATTTCTTCATGAGAAATAAATAAGCCAATTCATGTGATATTTAAAACTTCATTAACTTATTTCTCCTTTAATTTTCCCAAACTTGGCTTGCTGTTCCCATAGCTGTTTCTAACAATGCTCACTTTTCCCTTCATTAGAGTAAACCTAGAACCATTCCTACTGACTTTGCATCTGTAACAATTATATTTAAAGTTTCTTACTCATTAAACCACTGCATTTGTTTTTTCGCAGGCTTTCCCATCAACCATTAGACTTATTGAGGACAGAACCTGTGTCCATTTTTTAAAAGTCATGTTTATTGACTGAGGTTATAATTTATATAGAGTAAAACTCACCTTTTTAAAAAGTGTGCAATTCTATGAATTTTGACCAATGCACAGTGTCATATAATCACCACCACAACAAGGTCTGGAATATGTCCATCACACCCCAAATTTCCTGTGCCCTTTTGTCGATCTCCTACTCCTCTTACCCACTTGACTCTAGCAATCACTAATCTATTTTTTGTTCCTATTTTTGCCCTTTTCAGTGTTACACAAATGGAATCATGAATTATGGAATCTTCTGAGTCTGCTTTTTTCACTTAGCATAATGCGCTTGAGATCCATTCATGTGGTTGGATGAATAGGAAGGCCATTCCTTTTTATTGCTTAGTACTATTCCATTTTACAACATGTGTTACAATTTATCCACATGTCACTTGGTGGATATTTGTGCTGTTTTTAATTTTTAAGTTTGAGTCTATATTTTTTAAGTGCATACACAGCTGTGTAACTCCAGAGAGAATCTTCATACATATCTGTGATGTCTTTCCCTTTCAAAGTATTCCCAAGCTCTTATTTGTTTTTTTTAAAAATCTCACTTTCATTTATTTTTGTGCTTGTTTATCTTCCTCCTCATTCCTTTGATATTCATCCCTCCCTAGCCCTGACTCCTGCTGAAATCCACATTCCTGTAGTACAGCTGACTTTTGACGGAATTTTCTAAGGCAGAATAGTTCTTGACCTTTGTCCTCTTCCCTCTTTTCACAGTTTGCAATTTCCAAAACCCAAGGACAGTGAAAAACATTCTTGACTTTTCAACTAGCACAAAATGAGGTTGCTACCTTAAAACGTTGGACCGAGTCACGGTTAAAAGTAATTTTTTCCTTGGTAATAAATCTGTGCTAATCTGTAGATGGCTTTTCATATGTGAGGGTTTAAATTACATTACCTTCTTACAATAAAAGAGCTATTTCTCCTTTACTTCTTCCAAAAATCCACTTAATTTAAACTCTTTGGCTTAAGCTAAAGCTGGGGCTGGCAATTTCAGTAAAAAAAAAAAAAGGGGGGGGGGGCGGAGCTAGACACAGACTTTTTCTTTTTTTAGAGACTTTTCTTCAAAGGTCTGAAGTTTAGTAGAGCAGAAAAAGTTATCAGTCAGGGCTCTAAAGTCTAATTATTTTCCAGAGTTGATCACTACCTTTCTTGCAATATTTTATGAATCATTATAAAAGGGAAAATCAAACCTTTCTCTAAGAAACGCAAGGAGACAAAAACAACAGGAAAACTTAGGAGACAGTGAAAACCAACAGAGAACTCTTCATGAAGGAAGCAAAGACAGATGCAACTATATCTCGTACACTCTAAGAATGCAGTTCTTCACAAATACTTATTTCGTGTCTTCTCTGTACTATTAGGTGATGGGAAACAAGGATGAAGAGTTTTTCCATAAGGTATTCATCTTTATCTTAAGATGGCATCAAGATATAAATCTATCTTATTTGTCTGACTGATTTTCTAGATAGAATTTTTAAAATCTGGCCTTTTTCTTTCATCAGAGAATAGAAGTGTACCAGGCGAAAGGAGCTCAGAACTGACCGCCAGATAGCATTCCTTCTCATGACAGAAGATGGGTTTTAATTCTTGTTATGACCCTGTTAAACAATACAAGCGATGGCAGGGTCCCCACAGCCTCCCTGTTGTCCTTCCCAAGCCTCCAGCTTACCTTGATGTTTTCCCCCTTGTCAGGGTCACGGCCCTGGTGTAACTCCAGCTTTTCAATTTGGCCCTCCAAAGACATCACCTCACTTAACAAGCTGCAAACAGACCAGGAGATGGGCTAAGTCTGTGGATTAAGAAAAATCTCATAATCTTTTTTTGATCTTTTTAGAAGGATCAATTTTAATCTTTAAAAAAAAATTAAATCCAATTCCTATAACAGAAGACTCTTGGATAGTGCTTGTGTTGGAATGGGGAGACATAAATGCAATTCAAAAAAAAGTAAAAAACAACAACACTCTAAATAATTTAGATAATAGCAAAGAAATGGAAGACCTGCCCAGCCAGTGTGGCTCAGTCAGTGGTTGAGTGTTGACCTATAAACCAAGAGATCATGGTTGATTCCCAGTTGCAGGCTTGATCCCCAGTAGGGGGTGTGCAGGAGGCAGCCGATCAATGATTCTCTCTCATCATTGATGTTTCTATCTCCCTCTCCCTTCCTCTCTGAAATCAATAAAAATATATTTTTAAAAAAACTCTCCAATTAGAAAATGAACAAAAGACACGCACAGAAATTTCACCAAAAAAATGTATAGATGGCAAAAAACACATGAAAGGATTTTTAACACCATTAGTCATGAAAGATTTGCAAATTTAAAACTACAGTGAGATATCACTACACGTGTAACTTATCAGATAGCTAAGATGGAAAATAGTAATAACACCAAATAGATGTGGAGAATTTGGATCACTCATACATTGGTGGTGGGAGGGAATGTAAAATGGTATGGACAATCTGGAAAATAGTTTGGCAGTTTCTGTCAAAATTAAATTAAAAACAGACTTACCCTATGACCCAGTGATTTCACTCTGGGACAATTGAGAAAATAAGATTTATTTTCATACAGGAAGTTATACATGAATGTTTAAAGTAGCTTTTTTCATAATAGCCCAAAACTAGAAATTGTGCAATTAACTTTTGGTGGGTGAATGATTAAACAAACTCTCTCTCTCTCTCTCTCTCTCTCTCTCTCTCTCTCTCTCACACACACACACACACACACATACACATACACATACACATACACA